AAAGGTAGAGGGAGGGGGGGAGATAGAGGCTGTGATGTGGATTAGCATAAAGTCCTGCGGTAATTCCAGTCTCGTTTCATGCTTTGTTTACTGCGGGGATGGCAGAATGAATTACAGCCGGCTAAGCCGCCATTTGTTTCCACATTACGGTGGCTTATTTGTGCCCCCCTCATCCAGCGGTGTCCACAAACAGATCTGGATAATTCATGAATGTGACGTAATCATTGCCAAGTCCGGCGATAATAATCGTTATGCACGTTTTATTAGTGTTTGAGTTATCCTCGTCATTTACCGTTGATTTCCTCTTCCTTCCCTCTTCTTCTTCTTTACCGGTTTCCGTTCTTGTTAGTGGGTGGTTGGCGGGCGCGCTGGGGAGGAATGCTCCTTCTTCCCTGTCAAATATCTATCGCATTATACCTCTCCTCCCTTTCTTTGTATGTTACTCTCAAGAAGCACCTCTTTTCTTCGGCATTTACATGACCAAACGTGTGTTGCTAATGCCGTAAAACTCGTAATAAAACTGGACCAAAACTTTTTTAACAATAAATTCTAAACGTTCACCTTTTAGGCTGTTGATTCTTTTCTTTTTTTTGGGGGGGGCGGGGCGTTATTTTGTTGGGCCATTCTATAGAAAGTGATATACGGACACGCGTAAAGCAAGGATAATGATGACCTGCTAAAAGGCTGCTCTACCTATTTTCTTTTCTTTTCTTTTTTTTTTAGGGGGGGGGGGGTTAAAGGAAGGCCCCATCTTCTAAAGAAAAAAAAAGTAAAGTAAAGAACTGTTATATCATTGCTTACAATTTTTTCAGCAAGTCATTATCTCCGCGTTACGTGTGTCACACGCTTCCTGGAATGGCCCAGTTGTGGTTGTTATTTTGTGTTCGCTCAAACTTTGTATCAATCTAGGCCTATAACCGATTACTAGGACGAGGAGATGGGCGGTATAATTATATTTGTACATCGTTTGAAGGAGAGGAAAAGGAAAACCGATAAACCACCTGCATCCTCGTGACATTTTTAAAGCGCACTCGCAAATAGCATCTACTTTCAAAGCGGTTGGACAAATAATCAAACGTCGTCGACAGATGTTCAAGGCAAAAAAGATGGTATCGCCACAATTTTACAGCATGCGTTGTGCAGTTGATGGAGGACATATGGCCAAAATGGTTGTTGCGTTGAGGAGTGATGAAAGACAAATTGGACAGGAACATGCATTAACACACATAAACACAAACGCACATATTATATAAACACACACACATACATTTAACACACACACACACACACACACACACACACACA